AATATTCAAATAATCACCAATTTTAAATGAACAACGTTTTTATTTTTTAACACCTTTTAATAATAATTTTGTTGCTTCGTTATTATTTTATCGTTATTTTATTACGCTGTATAAAGCATAGACATCAAAATTGTATCGGTATTCGAATATTTTAATAATTAATCGTCGACATTTGTCCGATCGATAGGTGACCGTAGTGTTATTGGATGTGAACGACATGTCGCCCGAGTTCATATCACCGACCAAGATTTCGATAATAGAGAACGCGCCAAGTAATACAGTGGTGATGGCCATTAAAGCCGTGGACAGGGACGAAGGACGGAACGGATACGTAGAGTACTCCCTCGAGGACACAACGCTTCCCTTCACCGTTGGACCCGTAGATGGACTATTGCGCGTATCTGGCTCGTTGGATCGCGAATTAAGGTCAAACTACACCTTGGAAGTAACCGCGAAAGACCGCGGTGAACCACCGAGATCGTCCTCGACCACGGTCACTGTCACGGTCCTCGACAAGAACGATAATTCGCCCGTGTTCGATCCGCGACAGTATTCAGCCACCGTGGCTGAAAACGCAAGTATCGGGGCCAGTGTACTCCAGGTTCGTTGCATTTAATATCTCTTTTTCTCTTTTTTCTTTTTTCCCCCTTCCTCGCGATAAATATACTACACTATATATACCCGCGAACGAGGTTTCATCGCAAAAGAGGCTGCCATAAAATCGAGATTACACGAGCACTTACGTCACGCTAATTAAATCGCAATGAGTGTGTTCTTCGAGTGAACAGGCTTGCAACTGAACCGTGAAGGAAACACTTTAACAAGGCTCGAGGAGAGCCTTTTTAAAGACCGTTGAACGGTAATTGTTTCAACTTTCTCGATCGACGTGCGAACATGTTGATTTAAGGTGTCGGCGATGGACCGAGACGAGGGCGCGAATGGAAGGGTAAGATACGGTATAGCGATGGGGGACGATAACAGAGACTTCACAATTTCGGAAGACGGGGGTGTGATCAGAGTGGCGAAGAATTTGAATTTCGAACGGAAGTCTAGATATTATTTGACAATCAGGGGAGAAGATTGTGCCTCGGAAGTAGGGGAAACGCCACGGGGCGACACCGCTCAGGTCACTATCACCGTCCTCGACATCAACGACAATGCGCCCGTTTTCTTGGATTCGCCTTATTTAGCCCACGTTATGGAGAACATGGTACCACCTGGAGGAGGATTCGTGATACAGGTAATCGCATATCGGGATCATATTGTATCGAATTGTCCCGATACGAAAAATGATAAAACTGGCCAATTTTGTTTTCTCAAAGGTGAAAGCTTATGACGCGGACACGCCCCCTTACAACGATCAAGTGAGATATTTTTTGAAAGAAGGGGACACGGATTTGTTCCGAATAAATGCGAGTACAGGTGACATTTTTCTGCTCCGGCCACTTGACAGGGAATTGGTGCCGGAATACACCCTCACATTGGTGGCCATGGATACCGGTGAGTTGTTTTATGTTTAATTTTAAGAACGAGAATTGAGCGTTAAAGGCTAATTTATGGTTAAAGACGAGCGATGTAAAAATGAGACGAAACGAAAGCGAAAATAAATACGCGTATAAGGGAATAAAGGATAAAAGAAATCATGGGTAAAGGGGTATTCCCAGTAGATTCTTTGGATCGTACCTTAGGGGAACAGCTAAATAGGTATATACCTGGTAGGATCTGCACAAAGAGCGGCATTGAAAGGGTAGTCAGTATTCTTTGGAGAGAATATTTTTCCGGCCACCTTAGTAACCGGTCTTAGGCTCTATGTAAACTGGTTGCGAATTAGCACGAACAAAGGACTTAATTATATTGGGTTTGGCACTTTTAAAAAAGCCGCGGTGAATTGAAGAATGAGAAATGGAAAAAATGAAAAAGCCGATTTTTAACGCTGAAAAGACCCGGTTTTTAAACGACTCAACTCGTCCATGGGTCTCACTCACAATGCGCAGGTATACGTACGTACGTACGTACGTGCGTGCGTGCGTGCAGGTAGCTATAAATTCGTCGAATTACTTTGACAAATTTACGACACCGTGTCTACAAATCGTGATTACCTATTCCGTCGGACGGGACGATCGAAATGTCGGTAAATGTCACAGGGTATATTGGTGACAGGACGGTGCCAATTCACGGGACGATTATTTTTCCATCTATAAATTCCATTTAAACTGAACCGTCACACGAGAGGGGGATTGCATAAATGGTCGGCCACGCGCAACGCTCGTGAAACGGGAAAATGTCACCCTTCCCCCACTTTCACGACGATTGATCGTCGATGAATAGGCGAAACAATAGACGATATACTTAGGGGGATAGGTTTAAGTAATGAGCGGTAATATACAAATTGGATATAAATTTGTGGGTTGTTCGATGAGATTCTTTAAGCGGTGGGCAGTTCCTCGTCGAAATCTTTTTTATCGTTCGTTCCTCCGACGAAGCCAGTAGTCCCATTCGAGGGTGCCCGTCGCCCGCCCCCTTCGGGCCAACCATCGGGGGCCGATGGCCCAATCGGTCCCCGCCGAGGTAGACAAGCCTGCAGAGTTATGACGCGCGATTATGATAATCGCTCTCAAATGCCTTCCTCTGCCTCCACGCTGCACTCTCCTTCTCCCTACCCTTCCTTCGTTTTCCTCTCTTTCTCTCTCTCTCCATCGGTTCCACCACCTCCTCCACCTCCATCGCCGCCTCCTCCTTCTCTCGATGCCTCCTCCTTCACCCCACCCAAGCTTTCGCTTGTTGGATGTTTTGGAGGAGCCCTCTCTTTGGAGCCAAACGCGCATCTCTTGAGATCCTGCCCGAGCACGCGCATTATACTCCTATTTTATTCATACGTTATGGCTGTCGCGTGTACACGCCACCTATAGCGTTTATACCAGCCGTGTCCACTCCGAAACGGCTGCGCCCCTATCATCATGCTAGTACTATGGTTAACCATAAGGATTCACTTTAAATCGTCGTTATGTTGCGTTACGTGTCATAGAAATGAAAAAAAAAAAAAAGAATTTGACGAGTAATATGATACAAAGGAATTTCAAAAATGCCATTAATGACTCGTAATATATATATATTGTTATTTCGTATTCTCGTTAAAAATTGCTTTGACAATTCGAATCGAATTGGCGGGGAGGGATGGTTCTCTCGCTTCTTCTTGTCCCCATCAATTAAGCAAACGAATAAGAAGAATACGCTACTAGTGTAAGCCAGTATATTTCTGTCGGATTGCCCACCAGGGGAACACCGGATATGGTGGACCACACCATTGTGCCTTGCAATTGTTGTGCCCGTAACCCTTCTCGTGAGAGGTCCACGTGATTAAACGATATACGCTTATAGTGGCGCGTGGCCCAGGGCCACGCCAACGCGTACAATGTACCTGCTGCAATCAGAGAAATCGGGTCCACCGGAGAATAATGGCCTTTTAGGCGGCACAATTAACTCGACGGTATTCCGCCCGCCCGATATTTTATGGAATCGTAATTTGTCTTATTCAAACTTTGATCGCAGAAACACCTTCAACCTGTTTCGTTTCAAACTTTCTAAAGTTGAATAAATAATACCTTTACACGTTTTTAAGATATTTTTCATTCGTTCTTGAATTGAAAAAAAAAAAAAAGAAAAGAAAAAAGAAATTCAATCGCGTCATAATTTCTTACGGTATATTGATTTTTGGTGAAGCAAAAAAAAAATTTTGTTCGAAAAGAGTCGAACAAAATATATTTACTTAATCATAAAACGATCAATCTACGAATTATCGAACCTGTTCCACAGGTTCCCCACCTTTGACTGGATCAGGCATCGTTAGAATCGTCGTGCTCGATGTCAACGATCACATTCCGGAATTCACGAGACAGGAGTACAGGGCGACCGTCACCGAAAATTCAGTTTCCCGAACGTGGGTCACTAAACCTCACGCTACGGACAAAGACGAGGGCCTTAACGCAAAAATCAGGTAAAAATATACATCGTAGGCAATCTCGAAACAAATTCTCTCTGAAGATTCTTCGTAAAACATTCCCTGCTGATACAGATACAGTTTACTGGGAGAAAATTCGGAACGTTTCACCGTGGATCCCGAGACAGGCGAGGTGTTCACAGTGGTGCCGTTAGATCGAGAGCAAACCTCTGTCTACCATCTGACATTGGTCGCTCAGGATTCGAGTCCCACGGAACCGCAAGCCTCCGCCGTTAATTTAACGATCTTCGTAAAGGACGTGAACGACAATGCTCCTAGATTTTCTAGTCCAAGATACACAGCCTATGTGCCGGGCGCAACTAAATCGGGTAAGTGAGGATTTATTGAAGAGAAACAAGAAAAAAGAAAATAGAACAAAAAAAAACAAAAAAAAAGAAAATTGGCAACTTTGGTAAACTATCCGATCCGTCCTTCGAGAACACGAGTCTGAACGCGTTAAGTAACACCTGAATAACAGAGGCTCGTAAAGCTGTTGCTTATACGCAACACCATCGCTAAACACACCGTTTCCTTTAAAGGGGATTTCGTGTTCGGCGCGAAAGCGGTGGACGACGACGACGGGGAAAATTCTCGGATCGTATATCGTCTCCAGGGAATAGACGCGGAGAAGTTTGTGATCGATTCGAACAGTGGTGTGATAAGAGCTACACAGGAATTGGCCAATGACGAAACCACTTACCAATTGCAAATCCAGGCGTCCGATTGCGGCGTTAAACCGCAGTCGGTCACCGCGGACTTGGTCATACATCTGTGGGAGAGGCAACTGTTTCCTAGCTTTCGTTCGAGCGTCACCACCAGGTTCACACTGCCGGAAGACGTGCCGGAGGGCCGGGTGGTCACAAAATTGGGCGCGACCACGCCAAAAATCGGAGCAGCGAGTAATTTGGTTTACGGGATGGCCGGTGGAAACGTTGGCGACGCGCTCAAGATCGATCCTCATACCGGCGAGGTTTGTATTTCAGTTTGGATTGGTGAGAAGGAAAATTATCACGATAACACAACGAATGATTAATGCAAATTCATCTTATGTTATATTTTACGTTAGGAGAAAAATATTTTGTACGTACGAATGAAAAACTAATAAATGTGGATTAAATTGTAATACAGGTAATACATAACATAAGATAATTTTTAAGGTGATTTTATTTTCGGTCTCTCGTATTATATCGCGAATTTATAAATTAATTTATTTATTAATTTAAATTACGCACGAAATTCAAATAATTTTCAAAAAGTGAACATTATAATAAATTAAAAATAGATAATTATTTTTAAACTTATAAAGTTAATATCATTTTTTACTCAATATACATTTTCGATCTGTCGAATTTATTAAATCATACTTTAATCGATATTTCGAAAAATTTCTTAAAAAAAATAATCACTTTTTTTTTCAATTCGATCTAATACAAGCGATCGATTAATATTCTTTGCAAACGACGAAACACTTCGTCTTGTGTTTTGCATTGCACACGCTGGAATGCTCGAGAAAATTCGTTACGAATTTAGCAACATCTACAAAACTCTCAACTCCCCTCATTCATCAGGGATAATAATTTATCGATCAATTCTCAACGATTGTGCTAGAATGAAAGATTTATAATCGGCCGCCTTTGCATCGGCTTAGGTATTGGTCGCGTCTGGATTCGATTATGAAACAGCGCCGTTCTACGAAGCCTGGGTCGAGGTTCGTGATTCGGACACCCCGGCTCTGAGGAGCGTTGTGCAACTTCTCGTGAATGTTACGGACGCGAATGACAATGCGCCGGTGATGGAGGCGGCAATTTACAACGCCACAGTCCCCGAGGAGGAGTATCCGCCCCTGTTCGTCAGCAAAGTTTCAGCGAAAGATCGTGATTCTGGCGAGAATGGGCAGGTTTCCTATTATCTGGTGAACGATTTTACCGAGACTTTCATCATTGATTCTGATAACGGTGAAATTAGCACCAATGCGAAATTAGACCGTGAAGAGGTGAGTTAACCGTTTCGAATCGTGTTAATCGAAGAATTTTTAAGATGGAGAAAAAGGATAGATGGCTGATGAATAGACGTGGCGCGCTTTTTCTTTCAGATCGCTTCTTACGAGCTGATCGTAGAAGCGCGAGACGAGGGACAGCCTTCGTTGACGGGCACGGCAACTGTCTTGGTCACTGTGTTGGATAAAAACGACAATCCGCCTCAATTCACCCGGCTGTTCAGCGTGAACGTGACGGAAAACGCAGAGATCGGCACGTTTGTTATAAGAATTACTAGCAGCGATCTCGACATCGGTCAAAATGCTAATGTCAGCTACAGATTCACCGAGAATCCGGGGCAAAAATTCGCCATGGACGCTTTGAGTGGTAACGTCACTGTAAATGGCCATTTAGATAGAGAGGAGCAGGACGAATATTTGCTAAAGGTTTGTATAATATTTAAAATACTTATGTATTTTATATATGCGTGTAATTAATATATATCTGTATCTTATAATTCGTGTACTTTTTAATTATTTTTCGCACACATGTCGAAATACACGGATTATGATGCAAATATTTTTTTCCCATTGTGATTATTAATGTATTAAAAAATATTCGAATATTTAGAAAATTTTGCAAACATGATTTTTTAATTGCAAATAATAATAACAAATAATGAAAACGAGTTAATAAAATTTATTCGATTATAATTATTAGAAAATTAATGTATTATATATTTTCTTTTTTTTTTTTTTTGTATATAATATACAAAATTATAGTAATTATTTAAAAGTATAAACATCTCACCAATTTTAATGATCTTAAAATATATTAACAAAGTCAACGCATCATATTTTAAACAATTTCTTTTTATATATATATATATTACTATATATAAATATGCTTTAATTTCTGAAATATTCGTAAAATATTTTTTTTTTAACTTACCTTATAAATATATTCATCGTGGTGTGAATTCTAATATGGTAGCGACCACATTCCTGCATAGACCTAGATAATAAAAAGAGAAAAATTAATAGATTATGGGTTAATTTATATTAGGTTAGATTTCATTGGTTTATTACAATTTATATAATTCGTCGTAGCGTAAATTATTTCTTGATTGAAAACTATATCAACTTATCATAACGCTTCTAAATAATTACCAAAGTTAAATATGCCACAAAGGGAGCAATAATAAAATTTAATTTAATAGAACTAAAAATAGAATCATGTTGCTCATTTGTTTTATAAATATTTATATGTGTGAATATATTTTATATTAATACGTAGAAAAGATTGGAACTGAAAGTTATGATTTTGAAATAATATTAATTTTTTTATTGTTGATTTAGTGTTATATTTATTATATTTTAAAATTTTAAGCTTTTATATTTAATATATGCAACAGGTTTTTCATAGCAAGTCTGTAATATTTGTCGAATAATTATAGGCATGAATTGCTATCGCATTGGAATAAATTATTAAGAAATAAAAATAGCCTTTTGATAAAATATTTCATTTTTTAATGAAACGAAACATAATTTTATTAATAATACTTTTTTTTAATTAAGAAAAATATATCATCTTTAAAAATAACAATCTATTGAACATTATATTTTACTAATAATAAGTTTAATAATATCACTAATAGAATAGAATAAAAAATATAAAATATAAAAAAATGAATCGAGAAGGCAAGGAAGTTTAGAATTTTTAAATCGATAGAATCGAGAAACAATTTACACATTTATAATATAATTTCTACAAATGCTTACATTGACTTATTACATTATATTTCCTATATTACAATGTGTTCTTAAATATCATCTGATTCACAAGAATAAAAAAATCAATATTATAAATAATCGAGATGGATCAAAAAATAATAATCGAAGAATATTTATTTATCTGATACATATATAAATCCTTACATACAATCATTATTCACTAAAGATAAATGAAAAAAGTTGCGTGATCGATCATTGAATTTACATACATAAATAAAAATTATATAGATTGAAAAAGAACAATACAAATTCTACCTATAAATATAAATTAAACAATAATTAATTTTATTATTTTAATCAATCATTCGTACTGTACGTAGTTGGTAGCGGCAGACGGAGCTTGGCAAGCGGCAACCGCCCTAACGATAACCATTCAAGATCAGAACGACAACCCCCCGGAATTCGACGAGGAATCGTACCACTTCCACTTCCCCGAGCTCCAACCATCTGTTGCCCACGTCGGCCAAGTAACCGCGATCGATCGCGATAAACAGGGGCCAAACTCGGTGATATCCTACAGCCTGTTACAACCTTCCGACCTGTTCACCGTCGATCCGGCAACCGGTGACGTTTTCAGTAAAAAGACTCTAAAGTACAAGCACACTCACCGGCCCTCCTCGCCCGAGAACCTGTACTCGTTAACGGTGGTCGCCACCGACAACGGGAAGCCGCCTCTCTCCTCGAAAACGTCGATCCACGTGAACGTCGTCGACGCGAATAACAACGCCCCAAGGTTCGAGCAGAGGTCTTACCTCTACCCTGTCCCCGAAAACTACGGGGTCGGTAAAAGGGTGGTGCAGCTGGTCGCAAGGGATGATGCCGACTTCGGCGTGAACGCGGAGATTAGCTACTTTTTGGTGAACGTGAACGGAAGCGAGTACTTTTCCATCGATGAGAAATCCGGATGGGTGTACATCCAGAACGCGTTGGCCAACGTGCGAGTAGGAACGACGTTCTTATTGAAGGTTCGAGCGATCGACAAAGGCGTGCCGCCGCAAAAGGACGAGGTCTCGTTGACTTTGGTTATATCGGGGGAGAACAAGCACGCTCCCACGTTTGCCGCTGTCAGCCATCAAGTGAGGGTGCCCGAGAACGAGCCCGTAAACACGACTATTTTGACGGTGAGCGCCACCGACGGCGATGACGGGCCGAACGGGATGATAAGGTACAAGATATCGGCCGGGAACGAGAAGAACGAGTTCTTCGTCCATTCGATCACCGGTGCGGTTACAATACTCGAGCCGTTGGATTACGATCTGGTGCAAGAGTATAAATTGAACATCACTGCTACGGATCTGGGATTCGAGGCGAAACAGGCTGTCGCCATTTTAACCGTAAACGTGTCTGACATCAACGACAATCCGCCAACGTTCAACCAAAGCGTTTACGAAGCCTATCTACCCGAAAATTCCCCACCGGACAGTTTCGTTTACAAGGTGAGTATCATTGCGCGTCATCCTTTCTTTCTTGAGTGATCCCCACTTTACTTTAATTCCACTGATGGTGCAATATCGTTTGATTTCAGGTGATCGCGAAAGACATCGATTCCCCCAAGTACGCCGTGATCGAGTACAAAATTCTCGGTGGAACAGGGAAGGATCATTTTCGTATTCGCGAGGATACAGGCGAGATCACCTCTCTGATCAGTTTCGACTACGAGGAGGCCAACGAATATACGTTGGACATAGTGGCGGCGAATCCGGACTCGAATCCGCAAATGGTCGGGTTCACGACTGTCCTGGTGCGCGTGACAGGTGTGAACGAATATTATCCAAAGTTCATTCAACCGGTATTCCACATGGACGTGTCGGAAAGCGCGGAGGTTGGCACCTCCGTGGGCCTGGTCCAGGCAACGGATCAGGACGCGGGCGAGGACGGGAGGGTGTATTACCTTTTCGTCGGTTCCTCGAACGATCGCGGCTTCTCCATCGGTTCCGAGACGGGGATAATTCGCGTCTCGCGAAGATTGGACCGCGAGACCCAGAACAGGGTGGTGTTGACCGTGATGACGAAAAATGGGGGCGGAATCCGTGGCAATGACACGGACGAGGCACAGGTCATAGTCTCGATCCAAGATGGCAACGATCCGCCGGAGTTCCTTCAGAGCGCTTACGACGCGACCGTGTCCGAAGGTGCCGTGCACGGGACTCGAGTGTTGACCGTTAGAGCGGTGGACAAGGATATAAAACCGCAAAACAATCAGTTCTCTTATTCCATCATCGGTGGGAACATAGGGCAGGCGTTCAAGGTAGATCCCCAGACAGGAGACATAGAGACTGCCAAACAATTAGATCGAGAAACGATCCCTGTTTACGACTTGACGATCGGCGCCATCGATACCGGATCGCCGCCTCAAACCGGCACAGCCGCCGTTCACATCGAACTCATGGACATCAACGATAACGGGCCTATCTTCGATCCGCCCGAGGTAGTCGGCTACGTGAACGAAAATGAGCCGGCTGGAACGATTATAATGACATTGAGCGCGACTGACCCTGATCTACCACCGAATGGAGCGCCGTTCACTTATAAACTGGTCGGTGGAAGGCAGAGCGACATGGTCACTTTGGACAAGCATACCGGGGTATTGAAGACGACTAGAAGCTTAGATCGGGAAGTTATGCCTCAATTGGATCTTGTGGTAAGTATGGAAACGTTTTCAAAAGATAACATTGAAATAACTTTATATATAGGAGTTTTTTGGAGCACCGTTGCTCGGATCTATGTTTTTGCGTTTTTTCTATCATGCCTCGTTATTTCATCCTTTCACATCTGCTTATACATTGTTGCACATTATTTCAATATTATTTTCTTGCTCTAGTTTTTTCTGTTCTTAACTGTTCTTCACGCTTATACGACTGTTGCACGTACAGTTATGCCATTAATGCTTTAACGAGTTTTATTTCAAACGAATGAAAAGATGAAAAGAGGTGTTAAAATATGTATTCATTTTTTTGCGTTCCCCGCGAAAACAAAACATGATAGAGACATGATAGAAAATGTAATGGTAATGGAGTAAAAAGTAAAATAGAATAATCTAATCTAACAATAGATTTAGAAAGCAATAAATTTATTTTATCGTATATACGATCTTAATAAACGAGACGAGACTAATAATCAAGATCTCGATTAATCATTGAATTTAACTGTATTAATATATACATAATATATATTATATAATATAATTATTTTTATTAATATTACGTATTAAAGAAAAGCTTTATATCTGCCACGAAAAAAGAAATGAAATGTTCGATCGTTTAAATCAAAATTCGAATTATAATGGGTATTTAATATGTACAATGATTACTCGATAATAAGAGCTCTAGTTTGTATAATAATTCTTTAAATTCATCTGTCCAGATCGAAGTGGAAGATTCCGGAATACCAAGAATGAGGAGCGAGCATACGATAACCGTAATAGTGATGGATCAAAATGATAGTCCATCTTCGCCAAGATCGGTTCACGTGATAGTGCATTCCTTTAACGAACAGATACCATTGGGAAAAATTGCCGACGTGCATCCAAATGATCCGGATATCACTGGCAGTTATTCTTGCAAAATACTCCAAGGATCGAATCCCAAGATCCTCAGCATTCCCACAGCTTGTGATCTACATACGAAGAAAATAACTCCAGGTTTGTTGGTTGCACATCTTTATCTCTATCTCCCGAAATGGGAGATGGAATGAAGATTAAAAAAAGAATATTTGCAATTTGCATTTCTCTCACACACAGGTGTTGGTTACTCGTTAAGCGTATCTGGCAACGACGGTCGACATCCTAACGTAGTGTCGAAGGTCACCGTAGAATTCCTCGTTTTCACAAATAGCACAATCGAAAATAGCATTACGTTACAAGTGTCAAAGTTAAGCGCGAGGGATTTTTTAAGCCAATATTATCGCGCCCTGTTGGACGTTCTGCAAGAAGAAATTGACGTTGGTGATACTCTTAAGATCTTCAGCCTTGGAGAGACCGAATTCGATTTAAATATTCACCTGGCAGTGGAATCGCCTCAAGGTAATATATATATAAATTTAAAAAAAAAATTATATAAGAAAATTTGAATTTAAACGATTAAAAATGATTCGTCGTGCAGTAGGATATCGCAGCAAGTACGAGGTCACCGAACTGGTGAACCGTAACCGAGATAAAATTCGATCTCTTCTCGAGGGAACAAACTTTATCGTCGGTTACTCACCGTGTAAGCAGATACCTTGCGAGAACGGTGGTTCTTGCAGCGACAAATTGGTCATATACGATGACGCCAGAATCACTGACAGCCAAGCGTTGATTCTCACGTCGCCGAGAATGATTCACGAGATGACTTGCAAATGCCGCGATGGTTTCACCGGTGATAAATGCGAGAGAAGACAAGATCCTTGCTCTCCGAATCCTTGCTTATTGGTAAGCAATCCAACCTCTCTCCCTTCCTTCTGCTCTTTCTCTTTCACGCTCCGTTTTCTTCTAAAACTCCTCCTCTGATCGCTTTCAGGGGGGACAGTGTCGACGACTGGGTTACGATTTCCAGTGCACCTGCCCGATCGATCGCGAGGGAAAATTATGCGAGCTTGAAAGAGGCGATGCTTGCGCGAGCAATCCGTGCAGGAACGGTGGATCGTGCAGGAAAAGTCCCGACAGCTTCAGTTTCTTCTGTTTGTGCCGAGCTGGGTACAGAGGGAACCATTGCGAGGCAGTCACGGACTCTTGCAGGCCGAATCCTTGCCTATACGGAGGTTTATGCGTGGGAGAAAAGCCTGGGTAAGCTTTTTTTTTTCAATATAATATCAAAATAATAAATTCTTATCCGTACTATTAACGGATTTTATATAACCAATTTCTTAACGAATACAGGTACAGGTGTAGCTGTCCAGAGGGTCGTTACGGGAGACATTGCGAGCGATCCACGTTCGGGTTCGAGGAATTATCTTACATGGCGTTTCCAGCACTTGATTCAAACACGAACGACATAACCATTGTGTTTGCCACGACGAAATCGGACGCGTTGCTGCTCTATAATTACGCTCCGCAAACTGGAGGACGTTCAGACTTTGTTGTACTAGAGTTGGTGGACGGAAGAGTGGTGTTTTCATACGGTGGCGCGAGAAGCGCCATCACCTCGATCACCATAAAGACGGAGAACACCGTGTCCGATGGGGAGTGGAGAAAAGTGACGGCAACCAGAAACGGACGGGTCGTATCCCTGAGCGTGTCCATGTGCAGAGAACACGGAGATATTTGCGACGATTGCAGGCCCGGTGATGGTACTTGCTACGCGGATGACGTAGGACCAACTGGGTTAGCAGCTTCGTAATCAATATTAATTGATTGTAATTAATACTATTTTGAAGACACGTATATAACGTATTTACAATTGCAGAACCTTGAATTTCAATAACAATCCACTTCTGGTGGGAGGGCTCGAAAATGCGGATCCAGTACTCGAGAGGCCAGGTCAAGTCCATTCCGATGATTTCGTGGGATGCGTCCATTCGGTTTCCATAAACGGAAGAGCGTTGAACCTCTCGAATCCTTTGTCATCCCGTGGCGTTAAATCCACGTGCGTCAGATCGAAGAACAATCCTTGTCTAAGAGGTGGAAAAGACGCGGTCTCACTTTGCGGAGCCGATGCCAAGTGTTACGACAAATGGCATCAAGTAACTTGTCGATGCGGCTCGGTAATCGCGCCCAATTGCGGGACGGCTCTCGAACCGATCACTCTAAGCGAAGGTGGATACATCGAATTCAAAGTATGTGAAAAATCTTAGATTTTTTTTTTTTCATTTTTGTTTATTCCTCCCCAAGAAGAAGAAAAAATAATTAACGATCTCTTCTTCTCTCGTGCAGATTTCGGAGAAGCATAGAAGAATGCAATTACTGGAGTATCTTTATGGAGGTTCGACGATGTGGCATAAGAATCGAGCGAAACGAAGCATCACCGAGGATACCAGCTTCATTACCAATCAATCGCCGTTTAAAACGATTAGCTTAATGTTTAGAACGGTTAAACCTGATGGTATCCTTATCTATGCCGCGACTAACAAACATTTCACATCGGTAGAGGTGAGCAATGTTATCATCTTTCGACGATAGTACGAATAAAAATATATATTTTCTTTTTTTTATTTAATACATAAACGTCTTACGTTGTAGCTTCGCAATGGACAACTATTTTACGCATCCCTTCTTGCATCGCCCGTAAACATGACGGCTAACATCGAGGGAAGCTTAGCAGACGGTCGATGGCATAACCTGACCCTACATTCCTACTTTCGAGGCTTAAGATTGCTCGTGGACAACGTTCAGACGGGCGAAGAATTAGATCCTGCCGGTGTCCACGACTTCCTGGATCCGTATCTATCCGTGCTAACGATCGGTGGGGTTAGCCAAGATCTTTATTACGCTCATAGCGCTGGCGCAAGAAGTTTCGAAGGTTGTTTGGCTAACTTCACCATCAACAACGAGATCCAGCCGTTCAATGGATCCGGCTCGATCTTCAAAGAGGTGCTCTATCATTCGAAGGTGAGCACCGGATGCAGAGGGCCGATTGGAATCAGCGCTGCCGCAACAGCTGACCCCTTAAGCATAGGGATCACTTTAGTCATAGTTTTCTTCGTGATCCTGCTAATCGCTATTCTGGTCAGTTTTATCGTTTTCCGTCTGAGAAGACAGAACAAGGAGAAATCCGCCCCCTCGGTGGTAAACAAGAATACCAATGCTATAATGACTGGCAATCCGTTGGTAGGGACAGGGAACGATAATCTAATGTCTCGCCACGAAAATACGTATATCTCGGATACGTCCGATTTGCGTGGCGTAGGTCACATGGGGCCAGAATTGATCTCAAAGAAATATAAAGAACGCGAAATTAACGCGAGCACCGAGCACAGACCTCAAAGACCGGATATAATCGAAAGAGAAGTGACAAAGTCACCGCCCATTCGAGACGAGCACCCGCCTCTTCCCCCGCCTGCCCAAACTTCTCTGCACACCCACGAGCATAATCCAGAACCTGATATGCCGGAGCACTACGATTTGGAAAATGCAAGTTCAATAGCGCCGAGCGACATCGATATCGTGTACCATTACAAAGGTTATAGGGACGGAATGCGGAAGTATAAAGCCACTCCCCCGCCTATTAACAACTACGCCAATCATCATAAGCACACAGGTCAACAGCACAGACACACCGGCCCGTTCCCGCCTAGAGCCTTGCCACCACCGAACGTGAATCAACCGCCTGGCCCGACACAGAAATTGTTGCAAAGTACACCGTTGGCCAGATTGTCGCCTAGCAGCGAATTATCCGCCCAACAACCGAGGATATTAACGTTGCACGACATCAGTGGAAAACCTTTACAAAGCGCCCTTCTAGCCACCACTTCTTCATCCGGAGGAGTAGGAAAAGATGCTTTGAATTCGAACAGCGAAAGAAGTTTAAACTCACCGATCATGAGTCAATTGTCTGGATCGACGGCAAGTCGAAAAGCGCCTCAATCCAACAACGAGAATTCGGTGAACAACGTGTCCTCCGGTCCTATAGGGTTAACGGCAGAAGAAATCGAAAGATTGAATTCGAGACCGAGGACTTCGAGCCTCGTCTCGACTTTGGACGCCGTTAGTTCCTCGAGCGAAGCCAGAGGGCCACCGCGCACGGTCCACTCCATCTTCATCGGCGACACACGCCACCTGTGGAGAGACTGGAACGAAGAAATTCGTCGACGACCGACGAGAGCGGTAACGATAGTTTCACCTGTTCCGAATACGACAACACCTCGTTGGTAGGTGACAAACGATCGGATAACCCGTTTGCGAAGCAAGATGACGAAGAGGTGAATCAACGTAACAACGAGTCTGCTCAAACGACGAAACCACCATTGCCACCGAACGTAAATTACGATGGTTTCGACAGTTCTTTTCGCGGATCTTTGAGCACTTTAGTAGCTTCTGACGATGATTTATCCACGCATATGGGTGGATTGTACAGACCTAATAATAGTGGCTCGCCATCAACCACTACTACCGCGTTGAGTTGGGACTATTTGTTGAATTGGGGATTGAACTTTGATAGTTTGGTCGGAGTGTTTATCGATATCGCGGAACTTCCAGACAGTGCCAATCGTGTTCCAAGTACGCTTAGATTACCAGCTAATATACCTAAACCATCCGAGGAATACGTTTGAATGGTGTTTTAATGATCGACTGGAACTTTTTTAATATATATATATATATATATATATTATTATTAAAAAGAGCTACATAAAGGTGCATTTTCCTTCTCTTTTCTCATTTGAGAAGACAAAAGCGTGCACGAATAACCATCATGCGCGAATGAAATACGCTTTAATTGCCAATTAAAATAAGTCATAAAAAGAAAAAAATAATGAAACGGACATTTTTAGATTACATAAACAAATATTGTTACATTGATAGCTCGGAAGATTGATGCTCGGCCGTAACAATGTAACCGTTGTCTTGCCATAGTAAAAGAAGGATTCTTCGATTTGTTTATCGTTTTAACGTGTGACGCCATATAATTCAAAGATATTCGACGCACTGGTAGTAAATAAGTATCGTGTCCGGGCGAAATTGTGAATTTGTAAATAATCCGCTATATTTTTAAGCGATATGAGAGATTCTCTTACCATTAGAAAAACGAATTATAAAGAACGTACTTTTTCATCGAATTTTAATGAATTTATATCGTGCATCATAGCTCGCAATCACAAGCTCCTCTTATACTTAACCTTTACGATTAATCACGAATTCCATTTGAGAATTCGTTGCCGATTGAAGATAATTATTGTGCAACTGTATCACCCAATTACTATAAATAATTATTAAGTCCTTAAGTTTCTTGTAAATAAACTGTTTTGACGATCTGTGCCAGATAATATCGATACAGTCGCACAATGCCAAACGAACAAAGATTTATAATAAATCGAGATGAAAATTTTTTGAAATAACGTAAAAGAATCTTGATCTGTTTTACGCTTCTTTGCGTGTCGCGATAACTACAACTACTTGTTCAATGCTCCGTTAAAGTTCCGTAAAACGAATTACTGTGTATTCGTGATATTTTTTTTTTATTTTTTTTTTATATAGGATTTCATCGGGAACGTTGAACAAGGTATAACTGCCAGACTGATTTTTTTCCACCAAGTTGCAAAACGTTATCATAGATTATTATTATTATTATTATTATTATTATTATTATTATTATTATTAATTATTATTATTATTATTATTATACCATCGAAAAATTTTGTAAATTACGCGATTTATCCGTTGTAAATATCTGTATGTCTGATCTGTACAAAATGTGTGAATGAAATGTGTGTGTATCACTTTTATCATCGATCGTAATTTGTAATAAACGAAAATTTGTAAAAGAAAAGAAAAAACGAAAAAAAGAAATAATCAACATATATTTTTATTACTCCCTAATTAGAAATATTTCCTTGAATAATTTGATAAATTTTTAATGAAACGTGATTTTTCGATAAATGTGAAGACATTCGAAAGACGTTTACTTTATCCTGAACATATTTCGAGTCTTCTATCGCTTCGATATTCGTCTCAAAGACAGGACAATTAAATGACCATTTGAGAATCTATCAATGCAAACGAAAGACTTATATCTCAATACTTGATTTAATTGCTTGCTAAAATACACTCGATTGGTTAGAATGTTCAGATAATGATATCTTCATTTCCGTCATACGACGAAGAGCTTTTGAACAGCGCGTATGCGAATATAAATCTAATCGCCGACAAAGCTTGGACTTTCGACAAGGAAGGAGATTCATTTCAAAAACTGAATCATTCTTTGTCGATTCAGGTAAAACCTTCACAAACTCCCTGAATCATCTACCCATTTTTTAATTATTACATATGTTAGGAATATAGATATACTAGAAAGAAAAATAATAAAAAAATACAAAGTTTAACAATTTATCCTACAATAGAATTATAAGTTGACTGCAAAATACAAAGAAAATGGTTCCTATCAAACGAAAAGTGTTCGCGATGTTATTCCTAATTCCCGTTTGGCCAGCTATGGCAACTATGAGTACAATGAAGAACGCGAGAACACGTATAAATCAGACGACAATGAGGGCCCTGTTTCACTATCGAATTTCTGTTGGACGGAAGTTACCGAGCCATGGATGCTTCCGGAGGTCGAAAAGCACTTCGCCTGGTTAACTTCGAATGGACCACGATCGAATCGTGAATTGTTAGGTTTTACACTTAAACGTAATCAAATGATCCTATGATCGAATACTCGATCATTTTGTGTTAACGTTCGCCCGGAAAATTGATGTTGCAAAGATCGGCAACAAGGATACTGGAGCCTGACGATGTATCGAAGATCGGATGTGGTTTCAAGTCGCATTGGGATGATTGTTTGCACAGTCAACACGTGCAGAGGTTGAGATCGACAGAAAAGAAGATCAGGACGAATCATGAAACGAGCAAAGAAGCAAACCTGATCGGTAATACGTTTGCGATCAACTATAACTACATATACAGCGTGGTTCATACCTAAATATCTCTTCGAATTGTGATAGTGAAAAAAATATTTTTTACGTTATCTGTACGATATCAAAGGATCGATATCTGAAGAGAATATTTTTTTCTTTTCTTTTTTTTTTTTTTTTCGAGTTTTTATGGTTATCGATGTTTTCGTATACAACTAATATATTCTTTTTATTACACCGTGTATAATTAAAAAATACATTCAGATATTGTATAATAACATGATCTCGAAACAATCTTGATCTCTAGAGATCAAAATTTTATGTAAAATTTAAATTTAATTTAAATCTAAGAGGATTTGGCCAAGACGTGCGAATCTATGAATATGAAAAAAATAATTTTTATTGTACGATCTAATATCTAAAAGGTTTAATCATGAAATGTATAAAAAAAACACTCGTCTTTAAATTATCATTCTTCGTAGATAGATTTTAAAAATGGTGTTTTCCTATGATAATACATTGTCTAAACAATAATTATAATGATCTTTCGATTTTGAATTAATAACGGCACAGGCTCTAATTATTCTTATTCTTATATTCTTTGATCTTTTATCGTTATATGTTATTTGTTTTAATCTTTCCCACAAAAAAATATTCATTAATATAAAGTTTAGCGAATACGATAATCATATTACAATTCCATCAATTCATCGATTGGAAATTTTAAATTTAAAATATATCTGACAAGGTGTGTATATGATGCTGAATAACCGGCTGCTGATACCGATTGCATTCTTAGACGTATATCTAATGGTACATCACGTATGACCACTTATAGCATTTTGTAAGAATATTGTATATTTTTCTTCGTTTAGAATTATGTCCACTTACGTAATATAGACAAATTATTTGGTTATGATTAATCACAACAAACATTTACGTCTTTGTTTATCCATTGATTTTAACTAATATGGATTCTGAATCGATTAGTAATTCGTGTTTTTTCAATTGCCCATGATTAGTGAACCATGTTTCATCATTAAATAATACTCTTTTAAAAAATATTCGTTATTGTCGTATTGTTGTAAACCTCGTTGAGAAAAATACGTACGATTTATAAAATTTATTCCACGAACATTCATCGATAGAATACTTTCTTCTTGAAATATTCGCTATGCTTATTTTGGAAATGCCACTTTTATATACTCAAATTCTCATTAAATTTATATGTGAATTTTTATTAATTTTATCTATAATAACTTTTTTATTCTTTTATTCTTAATAATTTTGATTTTAACACATTTTTTTCACAACACTATCAATTTCATGAAAATTATTGATCACCTTTTCATATATAACGTAATGAACAATTATGATTAGAAAATTTATCTTTGTACGTTCGAATTGCTTCCCTTAAGTACTCATTATTATTACTGTAAATAAATATCATATCGATCTCATTTTGCATCGAATAATTGATTGTAAATGGTATGTTATTAAACTGTTGATAAAATGAAAATGAACAGGATTTCGAAACATCAAAGATTATCATACATGTACGATAATATGTTCATTTACATTTATAAACTTTCGATCACATTTTAGTTAAATTCTTGTCAAATATTTCGATAGGTTTAAATCTTACATCAAATTTTAATTTTTGGAATTAATCAAGATCATTTGAAGTATATATTAAGTATGTATTTATATACATATATATTATTATATATATTTATTTTTTGATTAGCTACAGTCACGATGCAATCGAAAAAAAATACATGATAAATAGTTGTGTGCAAAAAAATATCATCAATCGTGAAAACTTGAAAAAAATTGACCTCAGGAAAAAATATATTGTAGATTTTGATCTTTTGATGATACATTTATATTATTTAATATTTTTTACGCCATCACAATTCGAAGATATTTAAATGGATTACACTGTACAACATCTTTTTTTCCAAATTTGAACGAAAATATAACTTATTCTCTAGTAGAAATTGTATTAAATTTTTGCTAATTAAAACGATGCTGTCTGTCAAGAGTCAGATCCTACCGAAAAGTTGGATAATTATTACGAATATCAACGTTACACCATCGAAAATTCTATGGAGATGCAGCTACATATTCGCGTAACTAGTGACGCAGTTCGAAACTTATGGAAAGTGGGCAGCAATGTCCAACAGCAATTTCTCCAACAGAAAATGCGTTTGCAGTGTTATCGTCTGCAACAGCCTCGAGAGCAGAATTGCCAGAACAAGGAACGCCAGCAACAATTCTATTATACAGTTCAATATCGACCATTAATACTTAGAACAGAATATCAAGCAGCAAGAACCGAAACTTATGGAATAAGGAAACATTTGCCACCAGTTCTCAGTCCAGAAGTGCCGGAATTTTTTCCAAAAGTGCCGGTGACAAGATTCAACAACAACAAGGAACAAAATGTTAATCGCGTACAATATTTCCCATCTCTTAATGAGAGAAGTTATCAAAACGAATTGTTCCTTATAACAGAACTTACGAAAATACAGGAGCTATATACCAGGTACTTACTTATCTATACCAATACTGGAGATAATATATCTTTCTAATAAATTTTTTATCAATTTATTTGAAAATTCATAGAAATATTCTGTGATATTATATTCATATCGTGTTTACGTTTTTCTGTAATATCATCTAATATCAATCTATCTCTTTCTTGTTTTCTCGAGAAGAAAATAAAAAAAGGCATACTCTGAAGTTGTGAATTTCAGAGTACGGGTATACCATTGCTGTCAGCTACCGATGCGACAACATTCATTCGACCTCCGCAACAATGGTATCAAAGGATACCACAACCGGCACAAATACAAATATCCAGCTCCTCCTCAACGCCAATGTGTACCTCTGTACAACCTCTACGAACTACTACTATCACTCATCATCCCCTACAGGTGGAAAATAATCGATCATTTTAAAATAATAAAAAACATTTATTTTTTTTTTCGTATGTATATCGAACTAAAATTAATCAAAGATATATTTCAGGTGCAAGACAAGTTTTTACAATCGAATCCTATACCAATACCCGTTTATCAACATCCTATAGAATTGTATCATGAAACAGGGCAAAAAAGAAAAAACCAAGGCGTTGATTTTAAGAATTTGATATTGTTGACGAAAAATGCAATGAAGGCCCACCGTGGACAACCAAAAAGTACGCAGCATAAGCCTTCTCACTATATTGAAGGAAAAAATCGAGGTTCCAAATCAGAATCCGAAGTCCTTCAATGGCTGGATAAGAGTTGTCCATCGAAAACGAAAGATTTTTCTACTGCTAACACCCTGGTCACGGAATTAAGAAATTTTGAAGAAAAAAATGATAGAAAAGCTTCTAATACCAAACGAGAAAAGGATATCACAAGAAGTAGTGAACGAATAAAACCAGAAGTGCCAGGACCGAATCCGAAGACAAGCAGTGAAAGAGATAAAAATGATACGCGAAACAGAAGAAGGCTTTATAGAGATGTCTTAACCAATGCTTCTGCGAATCAAACTACTTTGGAAAACGTGTTTGAAAAAAGGTAAAAATATTTTACATTTAATATATATTTTATCAAAAAATAAGATATTAATAATAATTCTTAAGATTATGTTATTTTAATGTTATTTTTATTTTCAAAATTCAAAAGATTCGTGTTCATAAATCTTATAAAATCGTTAAAATTATTTTTGTGTTTCGAATTTCTCGAAATTCAGGTAAAAAATAATTTATATATAACTTATTAACAAATAATGAATTTTTTTTATTTATCCGATAATAATTAAATTTATGTTTAAACTATTGATTACATTTTAATTAGCATAATTTTATGTTAATATAATTTCTATTGAAAAAAAATGATATAAATAGTAAAAATAAAAATTTAATTTTTTACGAATTAAAAAAAACGACTATTTATTATTATTGATATTATAATTGTCTCTCCTGAATTTAAAAAATTTTCAAAAATTAAAATTTATTAAATGTTTAATTCTTGGCAGAATTGTAATCCCCTAAAAAAAAAAGTTTTAGTTTCGAGAGTTTCAAAACCTCACAAAGTGTCACAATTACGAATACGAATTTCACAAATTTAAAATAGCAACTCATCTCTAGATATTTCATTCTTGTTATAGTGATAATAATGATATTACGTACGTATATATAATGTATAATTAATATTAGGTACGATGAATTAGAACAACAAGCAATGGAGCAATATAGAACTTCAGAGGAATCTTTGGCGCTTAAATATCAAGTATAATATTTTATTCTTATATTCATTTACTTTAAATCGTGATGTTTGCTTCATTTGCAAATTTTGCGAATATATTTAAGAAATTCACTAAAATTATTCGTATGTACCAAAATATATCTTTTTTATCATAATATCATTATCGAATCGAAATTGTTTTATAAGATTGATACATTTGATGATATTTTAAAAAATAACCAATTTTGTTATAGGAACTCGAACGCCAAGCAATGGAACAATACAAGTTTTGTAGTAGCAACGTACAAGATGATACAGTTCCACGTACGCTGATGGATGATAAAAACATTTATGAACGATTTAAAAAAAATTTTAAAGAAGAAAATTGTTTTGGTGGACAAAAATGTTCCGGGTTTGGAAAATGTAGTCCTGTGAATACGGATGTGAAAGAAGAAGGAGGTTTAATAATTTTTATTATTAATTATCTTCAAATTTATTTCAATATAAATAAAATTAAATATAATTTAATATAGAATAAAATTTATCAATAATCAACAAATGATTTTTAGATGATTTTCTGCAGAAACAGGGAAATTTTGTACGAATGGAAAATAAAAATGAATTAGATGTTCCTTGCCGATTTTTCTCCGATAAAAATAGTCGATCAAGCATTCTTTCAAAAAGTTTGACCACCTTATCTGAAGAACTATCTCAAAAATCGAAAAACACAGCTAAGGGTGCATCAGGTGATAAAATCAGCAAAAGTGGTAAATATTCTAATATATTTTTAAAATTTTAAGAGAATTATTAAATATTATTATTTATTTTTATTAACTATTAAATTGTATTTTTAGTATTATTGTTTTTTCTCGTAATAAATATGATGAAAGGATTGTTCCAGTTTCAGTCCGGACATCGTCAAAAAGGCGTCTGATACTGGTGTCACCCTTTGAGAAAGAATCAGAAGCCAAATTAACGAGATCAACTGATCTAGAAGAATTTTATTGTATCACACGAGCAAATAAAAATATCTTCGGCTATTACAATAATTCAAAAATCGGACAAATTGGTGGTGGAGATGAAAATATAACTATAATTCAATCTCCCAGAACAGAAGGTATAAATTTCAAAGAAAAAATATATAAACAATTTTTTAATACTTTTTTTTTAGTTTGGCTCTCAGGTTTTTGGACCACATGAAGAATGAAACTTTTAGGAATCAAGAAAGGAATAAAACTTATTCAATAAAGAAAACAATTATATTAAATAGATTAATGTATTTAAATATCATAATAAATGCTTCGAAAATTCTGTATAATATACATGCATGTATATTTTAATAAAAATGACTTGATATTTTTTTAATTACTAAATATTCAAGCATGATCCGTTCAGGCAGTACATACATATGTATTTCGTTTTATTAATTAATTCATCTTTCGCAAAAAAAAAAGGAAGATAAGAGAGCAATTAACAATAATTATCGTTATTTTATAAAAATTATTAAGTATTTTGATAAATCTAAATAATTTATATAAAATATATAAATACATTTTAGTTTAGTCAAAAAACAAATTAATAATAAATTTTATCATATATAAATATAAGAAACAAATAATATAAAATAGTTTTTCAATCTTATATTATATCTTTTTTATAGTATGTCTTATAATCAAATAATGGAGATCAACGATTATCTTAAAAAATGCATCACCGTATTAAATTATACAAATTTTTTTACATAAAAATGCAAATAAAAATGATTATTTTAAAATAGTAAATCTTTATAAAATATTCTTCTTAATCTTTTTCATTATCCTTATTTTTTTGTTCTTTATCAATGTATTTATGTTGACACTCTTATATATAGTATATACATGTAAAAAAAAAGCCTTTATGTTATAATAATACAAAAAGTTTATATATATTACATGCAAAATTTATGATCTTAAATATGCATATATGACATTATCCCTGATTTAATTTTAATTATAATTAATACTCTTATAATAAAATTATTTCACAAATACATTGCAATTTGAGATCATAATTGTTATTGGAGAAATATATCTTAAGATATTCAAAAATAAATATTATCCAAAGTATTATTGATCAATACTAACATAATATTTAGCATTTTAGGAACTAAAATTTTATAAAATATGATTTAATACAATCTAAAACCAGGTGCACAATATCATTCCATTATTAGAATTCAATAAATTTATATTTTCTAATAATGTGATCGTGCTATCCTTATAGATCCTTATAGAAATTGCAAAAATTCCGAAATATCATTGCGTGCTCGCAATGATAATTTTATTCGTATGTATCTATATATCTATATCAATATTAATAATTAATAGCATCAATTTTATCATAATAAACATAATTATATAAAACATCTAACTTATATCTACCTCTATTTACTCATATATCTACCAATTATCAAGAAATTCAAAACCAGTTTTTGGTATAATTCGCTCCTCTTCCTCCTGATTCAATTGGGAAGATTGAAAACTACTATAAGAACTAGGTGTTTCTAGTAATGCTGTTGACTCATTAATATCGCTTGATTTTGTACGTGACATTACTACTAATGTATTTGTTTGACTTTTATCAGTATCTGAATCCCTTTCTCTGACTAAACTTTCCATATCTTCTGCCAAATTGTTTTGTAATTTTAACAAAGATGTTTTGTTCATTAATTTAGCAAATATACTTTCAGAATGATCACTATCAACATTGCCTTTTAATAAGCTACAACATTGTTCATCTTCAAAAATATTGTTTGAGAAACAATCAGATTGAAAACAATTAACTGTATGAGATGAAGTATAAGTATCATTAATAGAGTTTGAATTATTTTTTTGTGATTTTGCTGGACTTGAAAAGTGTGGTGATTCTCCAAATTGAGCTCTTATTAACTTTGACTTTACATCTTCTGATGTATCTATTATACTAAGATTCATTTGTGATTGAGTCATAAATGAGAATGGAGCCGAATGTTCATCACGCCATCGTAATGTCTATAATATTACAATAAATAATTTGTTTTAATTAATAAATTTTTAAATGACATTATAAATCTAAATATGAAACAAATAACATTTAATATTAACTACTATAATTTATTATAATTTATATTATTTAACAATACTTACAGAACCAGTTTCATCGATAACATATTTCATTCCTGTCTGAATACATAATTTTGGATACCATTCTGGTAATTCTTTAGTAAGTTCTGGCTTTTTTAAAGTATATTTTAATGCAACTTCTGGTTGAATGATGGTTTCATTAATTGCTTGATTCCGTTCTGCTATACTTAATGTATTCCATAAACCTTCATAGGCTTCCTTAGTTGCAGTTATATCTTCTCCTATTCTTTGTGCTAAGGGATTTATACTATAGAAATATTGTTCAGCTCTTGAATTTAACATAGCACTCATGCCGAAATTTCCAAATTAATACGAACAAAGTATCTATATTTAAAAAAAATAAATTTTTGTTAAAATAAAATGATGACAATATTATTCATAAGAAAATGATCTTAAAATTGATAATGTAAAAACATATATATAGGTTATAATATACAAAATAATTAATTATTAATATAATAGATAATTAATATAATAAAAAATGACAACATATAATTTAAAACATAAAAAATTAAATTATAATAACCATAAATTATATAAAATAAAATTATAAGATTATCTTTAAAAACCTTATTTTCTAAACGATGTGCAGTTTTGAATGATAGGAATAGGAGCTGTATTAATTATATATATATATGTGTATATGACCTTCATACTACGTAAATAATATATATTTTTAAAATAAATTTCTATTTTCCTTTCTTTTTAAAATGATAAATCATATATAACTTAGAATATTCAAAATAAAAATATATATAATTAAATAAATGTTTAAATTATTAAAATATGAAATTATAATTTAAAAATATATAAAAGACTTATATAAAAATTTCTATCTCAAAAGTAATTCTTGATTTCCACTTTTTTTATATAAAAAGTTTTATTTCAGATTTATTAATAAAAATTATATTAACGAATTATTAGTGAAAAACATTGGCCAATCACCTGTCGTACTGCAGTGATAGTATTAACTGTGCCATCAGCGAGTCATTGGGTTTAAACAAACAATCGAAGCAAAATGCATCGAATTCAGTGACTCGCTGACAGCATATGTCTAATGTTATCACTGCGGTGCAATAGGTGTACATATTCTATGATTGGGTAGTGTTTTTTAAGTCGTTATAAAGCCGAAACAAAAGTTTGCAAAAGAAAAGTTTATTCAAAATCTTCTCAAGAATCACCAATTAAATCTTGTCGGTTGACTTCTAAGACAGTTAAGCTGTGTCGGTTGCCTTCTGCGTCTTGTATAAGTACTTACTTACATATTTAATTATTTTTAAATATATAGTTTATGTCTATGAAACATAAAATACAATTTAAAAAAGTAAATTATTTGATTAAAATATAAAACATATTATAAAACATATTAAAATATAAAACATATTATATATAACATAATAAATATTAACAAATATATTAAAATATGAAATTATCCATTATAAAATAATTTATATTTCGAAACTATAATTTAAAATTTTCTTGAAAATATTTTCTAAAAATTGCAATTAAAAATAAAATCTAATTAATGATTTAATAAAAATATTTATAGTATAAAAAATTTATATTATATATTCAATTATTTTATAATTTTGATAAATATTTAATAATTGTTTTTATTTTACTTAACATTTATTGTATTCGCTTATACAATACTATAATCAATAATAATAATCTATATTAAATTCTTTAAATAAACTTTAACATATATAAAATATAAAATCATTAAAAATAAATATCTTAAAAATATATTAATATATAATATACTTAATAACTATTAATCTATATAAATTTTGAATTATGTAATTATATTATAAAAAATATCAATATATACAAATTTTTAATACTTGCAGAATAAAAATTTAAAATATAAACTTAAAATAATAAAAAAAACAAAAAGAAAAGGGAGGAATATTATTGAATTATACTTAATATGTCTCTTTAAAGATTTATTTCATTCTATCTGTTCAAAATTATAATACGAGACAATTTTTTTCTTTAAAACAATTAACAATTAAATCAATTTCAAAATTTAATAAAACATTTATATATAAAATATTTTTTAAACTTATGTTCTTTATTGTAAACTAAGAACAATATAATGCCCCATTATTAGCTGTATAACTAACTAGATTTCATTAAAATTATCATATACTTCAATTTTTTATTATCATACAAATATATACAACATTATTTTAAATCAGTTCTTGCACGTTTTAGTAATATTTTCATTTTCTATGATGTAAATGGAACAGTATTTTAAAATATACATATTACACAAATAATGATAATTATTTATATACAATAATGTAGGAATGATAATAAATAAAAATCGTTTGTGATTTTATAAACATTTCGCTGTTTAAGTATCACTTATATAATTACTAATATCATAAAGTTTCAAATACAAACAAATATATGTTTCAACTGTAAATATCCTACAAATCAATTATAACTTTGCTTACAAAATATATTTACAATTGATAATATATCTCAATAGTCTGTATGAATATGAAACAAAACTGACAAAAAAAATAATTAACTTTTATAATTTCATTATATTATCTGTGGAAGTTTTATAACTTATAATTTTTATCATTTGAAATACGGACGTGATTTAACACTGTATGATACAATTATTTACTGTTTAAAAATGGATTAAAATATCCAAGATATATTAATAAATCTTTAAATGACCAAATCTAATTAGATATTTTTGTAATTTATATAATATACATATATGTATATAAATGTTCCCAATATCAGATTCAAAATAGTGTCATTCAAACGAATGATATTTTTTTTATTCAGCAAAACCAATGTGATTTCTTATTAAATTGAAAGAGTAATGAATTGCTTTTCTCCCAATTTCATACATATAATTTTGATGTTTTTATGATTTTATATGTAACTTCTGATACATTAATGAGAGTGGCACTACATTTGGAACCATAGTTTATGTGTCAATATTGAATGTATCTTCAAAAGATTATTTTAGAAGAATACATTCAATGTGTTTTTATGTCTTTATTAAAAAAAATATACTAATAGTGGCAATGATTTATGCGCAATTTGAATCCCGCAACTTTTTCATAATGATATATTTACTATATGACATACATATCATCAATTCTATCTTCACATAATGATTGTGTATTTCAAATCTTGTTCTACGTTCTAAATTAACACGAATATTTCTCCAACTCTCGTTACAAATACTGTATTGCTTTAGGATTATATAAACTAAGGATAATTATGTAAATAAAACAGAAAAATAAAAAATGATAAAAGAAAAAAAAATTAAAAAAGCATTGAAATAATTGGTTATGTAAAATTATTAAACAGATTGAATTTATGTTACCTGATCTATCTAGAAAACAAAGAAAATAAAGGCTTTTTATAATAAATAGACAATATAATGATATTTATAAGAACATAGGACAAATGTAAAATTGTCCACAGTTACCTGTTTGACAAATGCTTTAGAGGGCCCAGACTTAGAATAGATGTAGCACCAAGCGCACCTAAATTACAAGTATTAGGATTTCGTGCACCGTCTATTGTAATTATAGGTAATCCAAAATATCCACCCGTTTGAGCACTAAGCTGCGACAGCGGAATATAACTTTGTATACCAAGATTTGATAAACGATTCAACACATGAGGGGATTTCAAATCTACAACTGGCAATGCTAATTCTGCACCACCATTTTGTGCTACGGTGTCAACTTCTTTATGATACGCTTGTTTGTGCGTTGTTAACGCTTGAACTGTTGGATATTGGGCAGGGCAAAGATTACACCTAACATCAAGCATTTAATATATATATCAATATTTTAGTTATTGTCTAAAATATCTTCATCCTATTTCATTGTTTGAAAAACATACTTACTTGTGAAGTAATTTACTTGGTGCACGATGGGTAGCCATATGTTGAGTTAACATTTCCTGATTCTGGAAATTTTTATCACATACTTGACAAGTAAGCAATGCTCTGTAATAACAAAAGATACCTTATTATTAATAAATATAGAGTAATCTTTCTTAAATTTATCTTACCGTGGAGGTCTTCCACGTCTAACTACTGGTATTTGTGGTGGACCATCTTGCGTTAAATCGACGGTAGGAGGTCTCGGTGGTCTTTCCACTTCATTCACCGCTGTTTTGTTTTGTTTATTGTGAGGAACAGCAAACTGACCCTGTTCTTGTTGTTCTTTTGTGAACTAGCTGGTATGATAGAAATAGCAGAATTCAGAGTGAGCGCTGTAACATTTAAAGGCTGCTGTGAAGATGTAGTCCTCTGTTGCTGAGGAGGTATCTGCTGTTTGTTTTGTTCACTTGATTTATTTTTATTTGCTGCTGGAGTAACAGTAATACCTCTGGCTGCCAGTACATTAGCCACAGCCTTTGCATCAGACTTCTTGCCGCTAGCACCTGATGTGTTCTGCACTTGAGCTGGAGCGGAACCTTTAGATTAGTAAAATAAATATTTTTATTCTTGCAATGAACCTCTTCCGCGAATAGTTAAGTTTTTTCATTTTTTTTTAAATAATTAAACATAAAAATAAATTTATAAAAACAAATATTATAAAAATATTATAAAAATATAAAAACTTATTTTTGCTAACAGAACTAATCTTAGAAGAGGTATTTCAAATCAAATAAATAATATATATATATATATATTATGAAATATATTTAAAAAAAACTTTAATTATGTATTAAAGATACCTGGTTGTCTAACACTAAGAGTTATGGAATCCGTAAGATGTATAGTAGAATCATTTCTGCTTGTCTGTTGAGTAGTAGCACCTTGAACATTTTGTATAACAGGTAAACCATCATTTCTTTTCTGCTGCGCAATGACATGACAATCTGCATCTTCATTCCTATCTGGCAATAAAACATCCATTCTTCGTTGTTTTATTGCAGAATTGTTTTGTTGTACTTGCATTGATTGTTGCATAGGGCGTTTCATACGTTGCCGTGGAGTTGATCCCGTTTGTGGAACTCGTGGTGCCCTACAATACATATATGCAAATTAAACTGTTTAATAATGTATCAAAACGAATTTATAATTTTTTATAATATATTTGAATTTGATAAAAAATAAATCTCACATTTTTTAGGATTATTTTATCAACAATACTTGCCGATTACTTTGTGCAACAGTAGGATACCTTCCACGTGAAATTTGTTGAGGCAATTGAGAATGCATTTGTGGTGGTGCAGTCATTTGCGGATATGGACCCGGTCCATATTGCGGATATAGGTGTGCTATATGAGGAGGATAATGCATGCCCTGTGGACCAGGAACTCTATACAATGGTGGTCTTCCTGGTGGCTGTACAAGTAATTTGGACCAGGGATCATTGTATTTGCACCTGGTGGAAGACTTGGAGGCATTTGCGTTTGTGGAAGTGGCATACGTTGTACTTGTTGAGCTAATTGTTGAACAGGTGCAGGTAGTTGTTCAAAATTAACAGGTGGTATTATTTGCTGTCCAGTACTAGCTACTGTATTATATGTGGGTGAATTTGTTTGATGCGGAGAAGTTAAAGGAGAATTCCTATTTATTTGTTGCGAATTTGGTGTATTTGGAGATTCCATTGATACTGCATGAGGAGAATGTGTATTTAACTGCGGAGATGTTTGACTCAAATGGGGTGAATTTTGATTCAAATGAGGCGAACTTGTATTTAAATGAGGAGATAACTGGCTCACGCTAGGAGAAAGAGGCGTTCCATGCATTTGAGCTTTATGCATAGAAACCTCCAATGGTGAATTAAAAATAAGATTAATACATTCTGGAATATTGCATTGATAATGTCCAGCTTTGCTTCTGTGCTCATCTAAATGAGCAATATCCTTAAATTTTTCATTACAAACACGACAAGTATTAACAGTTTCAGCTAACTTTTCAAGAGAAACATATTCAGTTTCTGGTGGTAAATTATTTAATGTTTCATTTTGATTATGCCTCTGATGTTCAATCAAATTTTGTAAAAGAGATCCAGCATTGTCAATGTTATTATCACCCCCATGGTCTGATTGTTCTTCATTTTCTTTAGAATTCTCATTATTCTTATTTGATATATTAGTGGACAATTGACTCCAATTAAAACTAGCTGTGCTTTCTGTTGATTCTTCGGGTTTATCTTCATCTTCACACACTGTTGTACAATCTGTTGTATGATTTGAAAATGTAGCAGATTTTGAAATAATACTAATAGCTGGATTCTCTTCTAAATTATGTATCATATTGGATTCATGACCTCTATCATCATCTTCTTCAATGCCTGAATTTTCAATTAATTGATTCATAGATCTAGATCTAAAATATTAAATAATAATATACATGAAAATATATATAATATTTTAAATATAATATATATTAACATATATAAATAACATATATACTATAATATAATATATATAAACTAATATATACATTACATACAAATATATTTTATAATATTATAATAATATACTATAACAATACTATAACAATATATATACTTTCAAATAAACAACATTACCCAGATTGTTCACCAAGTTTTTTCAAGTTTTCAATTGTTTCTCTACATGTTGCTTCCAATGCATCTGATTCTTCATGATCTTCTGTTTCAGAGAATCTTTTATCTGAATTGTCATATTGATCTGAACTTTGTAGGTCATCAACATTTTGATCTTCCTTTTCAGAGGGATTTGCCATATCACTTCCTACACCTGAATCACCCTCATTGACATCTATGGGTGGTCTATCATTTTCTTCCAGTGGATTATGTTCTTCGGTATTAAATTTAATATTTCCATATTCATCCTATTAATAATGTTAATCATAGAATCATATTATTTAATATTTCTAATATTTATCTTAGTATAACATACCTGTTGCTCTACCATCACGTTTTCAAACGGCTGATTAATTGAATTTTCTGTATCTTTTTCATGTCTTTGATCATTTTCCTTTGCTCCAGCCACGTCTCTTTGACTGTGATTTTCTGTTCCCAAATTAATATTGCTTTTCACGACAGTAAAATCTTCTGATTCAGATGATTTCTTCAATTTAAGTTTCAGAGAATCAGTGAAATTTTGTTTTTTTAATGTTAATTTTAGAGAACCCTTTTTCTCTGGATCTAGCCAATATGTATTATTGTGTTTTTTCTTAAAACTTTTTAGATTTGTAACTCTCCTTAAAACTATGCGTGGTCTTCCTAAATGCGTATGAATATGAATACGTAATTGTTTTTTTGTTACAAATTGTTTTTTACAAATTTCACAGCTAAATAACGAAAATCGTAATGAAAATATTGAATTTTGATCATCTATATGTTTATCTGAAAAAAAAAACATTGCAAGTATTATAAGATATTTACATCATTATAATATTTTAATATTATTTTTATAAAAAAATTTATATTTAAAAATATAAATATTATTAAATATCTAAATATCAAAGTTAAAATATCTAACCACTTTTTCGACTAAAAATCTCAGAAAAGTATAGACTGAATAATTTGCCGCGCTTTCGTGTTTGCTGTCAAATCAATTAAACTATATAATTTCCTGTTAGATATGTAAAAGAATTACACATTGATTATATCCACATACAATTCTTATTCAAAGGTTCACTCAATATATCAACGCGCGTTCCCCGTGTTACAACGGATGTAAACAATCGATGCCGATGTATATGCAGCAACAGCAAGTGTTCACGCAAAATGGTTGCGGTAGCAGACCACCTAGCGCAAGCGGAATAATTGCCTCTGCTTTTGCCGAGAATTGAAAACGGGATTCTCCAATCGATACTAGCTAAAGAACGAATATCATTGGTTCACTTCATATTAGCGCAACATTCCCGCCACAATATAGCTCATATCAAAATGCATTTCGTGTGATTGCGGACGTGTATAAATTGTTTCTTTCGGTCTTAAATAATTACACTAATTTATGAAAATTTTATTTATTAAAATAATCAGTGAAATATTGTTAATCAATTATACAAATGGATTAAGAAGGTAATAAAATTACATTTTATATTTAAATCCAATCTTAATATTGTAATTTTAATTAAGGTAATATCAAAATTTGTAATTCAATAAAATTAAATAAGGACATAAATTATGTTAAGCATTCTTGTTAATTAAATATACATAATAAAAATTATAATTTTTCGTATTGTTTAGCAGTAACAAAATCCTAACCTTTCCTCAAGAGTTTTGAATGAATTTTACTAGTATTTTTTTATAAAATACAAATATATAAAATATATAAAATTTGTTCAAAGTTTCTAAACTAAAAAAAAAATAATTCCAATAATATTACTTAATATATATATATTATTTTATATATATATATTTGTATTGATAGTAAAATTTTAATGGAAAAATTTATGGGATAGGAATATAAAAATAATTATAGATTAGTAATACAATAATAAATATTAATATTTTTATAGCAACATTTAAAATGAAATGTATCGCTTTCTCCAAATAAAAAAAATATGATATTCAATTAAATAAAGATAAAATATTAAATTTCATAAAAGTAATTTATAAAAATGCTAAATTTTTAATACTATTTATGCACATTACATTGTTTTAGTATTCATATATAATTTCTTTCATCTGCATTCAATATGTAAAAAAAACATACCAAATTTTTGCAAATCATCCACTGCATCGTCTTTACAAATTTTGTTTTGGTTTGAAAATCTAAATTCCTCAAAGTCTTGATCCAATGAATTGTTCATTTCCACTCTGTAAATATAATATAAAATTTATTTTTTTACTATTATATAACAATTATTATTATTTAATATTTTTAACATTATTGTATTTATTGGTTATTGTATGTTATACTTACAGGCATTGTTATTAACAATGCAAATCATCATGAAGTTGTCAATAAAGATTAATCTTGACTTAAATAATTACGACGTTTATCGACGATTAAATATGTCCATAATATTTATTTCAACAAAATACACATAAATTAATTTGTTGTAATAAGTTCACAGATTTCGCACAATTTTATATTTTTCACTAAGAAAATTATAATACCGTATAAAAATGATTTCTTCAAGATTTATTATTTTATTTAAATTTATTGAGATATATATTCATTAATATTTATGATTGTTATTGAAATAGTAAATCATAATAAGGTCAATTAAACACAAGATAAACTTATAATATTTATCAATTATATTCTGTTAACTATATAAGTAAAAATAGCGTTGAATTTGCTTTAAATCGATGATGATTGATCCGGCGTCGATATTACATAGTCGCATAAAAAAAAGAAATCACGATTTGTTCGATGGATATAAAATTAAATAAAGAAAAAACATATAGTTCCATTGATATTTAGACGATGAAGTTTTTTCCGATTTGTTACATATAATTAAGTATGGCTGTCAATATTATGACATGATCACTGCGCTGTTTATGGCACATTTGTAGTAGCGACATTCAACGACGGTAAAATCGGCGCGTCAACTACGATGCCTGCCGTACCCAATCTGAACTTATTATTAGTACGTGTTATATCGAGCCGCCAATATGGCGGCGACGCGATGAAACCCGCGCGTCCGTCAGAATAATCAACTCAATGTGAATTCGTGCCGAACTGTTGAAGCGCGTTCAGCGACGGGTTCAGAGTGTTCAGATGCGTTGTTTTGTAAGAACACGCGCGCGCGCGCGCGCGGGGTAGCGTGCGCCGATCGCTGCAAAAGCCGAGCTTCCCTCTCCTCTCTTCTCCTCTCGACGTTTCGTATCTTTGTATATCTAACTTCTCCTCCACTGCACACCATCCACCACCTTCATCCACTTCCTCTCTCTCTTCTTCCTTTTCTCTCGTTTCCCCTTGTTTTCTTTCTCTATCTTTTTACCTCACTGTCACATTTTCTTTAGCAAAGATAAAAAGGGTTCACTTTTGCTGTATATTTCTAATTATTCAGGATATATAAAGTAAGTATATATTACGACATCTCATATATCTTCGAATAAAACTCAATAAAACAAAAGAGACCAACCAGAATAGATGAACTAAAAAGGGAGGGGAGAAACAGAGAAGGAGCCCGAATTGAAATTAAGTCAACCTAACGTGCACTCAAGTATGAGTAGGGAGCCAATCCGCTCATAGCAAATACTGTCGACGCAAGCGCAACTCGAACATTACTGTGAAACTCTTTTCTTCTCTTGTTCTCTATTTCTTATTACTTTTCCTTTCAATTCCTACTAATAGATCATCTCTTCCATTTCTTCCATTAAGTGATTCTCTTATTTTATTTCTTTTGTTAATAACTTTCATTTTAACTTTTACTTTTCTTTTATTATATTGCTTTTGCTACTCTTTTAATGTTTCTATCTCATAATCCATACAATTTTCCAACAAAATCAACATTAACTATTTAATTTCTATCCATCAACTATTGTATCTATATATAATTTTATTAAATAATTTTCATTTATAATTTTCATTCATAATTTTTGGTGATTTTATTAATTTTACAAAAATTATAATATTATATATTACTGCTGTACTTTCATTATTATTTATAAGAATTGTAATTCTGTATTTTTTTATATTAAAAATACACAATTTATATAACTATGATTATAAAACTAATAGATATATCTATTCATACAATTTTTAATATATTCAATTTCAAGCTATCGTTATAATTTTCTATAAATATGCAAAAAATATATATGTATTAAATGTATATTTTTATTTATATATTAGCCAATATAAATATACATTTCAATATGTGTTTCAAATTTTAATATTTATTCCTTCAATCAAATCGAAAATCAAGTTAATGTTGATGTGATGATAAAAAACTTTTTCTTCCAGTTGAAACTATAGTTTTTTTTTTTATGGAAAATTGTACACCAAAAAGCATACCTGAAATAACCGGTTTTGCCGGGAAAATACATGTGAACAAGGCGTGGCAAAATGGTTGGAGGCTAACAGGAACAGGAATATAGTAGGGGAACTTAACGGAACATGTCGAAAACGACCGAATCTGACATCTATTGATCGTAACAGGTTCTGTACAGTTTCCTACAGATACTCAAATAACTCGAATTTAAAATTCTATATTTAGTTCAAATGAAATTTCATATTAATTTATTAAATATATTAAATGATCAATTATTTAGATTTTTTCATATATCTTACTTATATAATATTGTTTGCATCAATTCTTTATAATCATATTTATAATTAAATACTGTAATATCAAAATAATCAGAGATTATATTTATAAATCATCTTTTTATGTAGTTATATGTTATTTTAAAAAAATAGATATTGTTACATCAGAAGTTCACTCTTGACTATTTTTGTTGCCTTGTTTACGAATAAAACTCAAGCAAACCGTTGAATAGTTAAATATAAGTTGACATTCTCATTCCACGGAATACTTGACTATTGATTTTATCCCTACCATGGTCTCTTCGTCCTTTGGTTAACAAGTACTATGCGCTGTAGCTGTGATAGTATGCGCAGAAATGTAATCGTCTTTATGGAGAAGACGAGTTCACCACAATATAGTAGTAGTCTAACTTGATGCAAGGAGAAAGGGGATACTTGGATACGTTGACCCAACATCCCTGACTAGTCCTCCCTCTCCAACATCTCCTCCCACAAATCTGGTTTCATTGCGAGTTGCGCACAACTTTCTAAGCTCGAACCTTCTCTGACGACGTTTGTTCAAGTTATGCTCATTGCGTGCAGAGTAGGGATAGAAAAAGATAAAGATTTCAATAAAAGTTCTGATTAATAAGATTTTATGAACTTGTTCAAGATTATTAATTGAATCTATTATACAAAAATAACATAATTCTTTATATTAAATAGTTTAAAATATTATACTTTTATATCAAGAAATATTATAAATAAACGAAAATAGAAATAAACATAATTAAATCAATATAAATAAGATGCTTATGTAAACATAAATATTCAAATATGTATTTATATATATGTATATATATATAATATATATATATATATATATACTCGTAAATAAACATATAAATAAAATTTGTTATTCCAAAATTTATTATTGTATTCTATTATGCTCTTATCATATAACATTTTGGAATTGACCATACAGGAAGAGAAAAACTTGGCAACATAGGGGGTACTTCCAATTCTGTAATTCCGTCATATATATACATATCTTTCAAGAATTATTTTCTTTATTGACTTCATTAACATAAAATTGTTATTATCCCTTTTATTTTTAAAATAAAATAATATATTTGAATATATATTATATAACAAGTATATAAATTATATTGTATGCATATAAGTTCTACTTTTTTAAAGCTTATTTTAATATAATTTACAATTTAATAAATATAAATTTAAAATATTAAATATAAAAAATATAATAATATATTTTAATGAGAGTTTTCTTTAATAATATTTGGAAATATTTATTATTTTTTTTTTTATATTACTATTCTAATAATTGTTTTATTTCATCATTGATTATAATTAATCAAAATTAATTTAATGTCTTTCCCTTCTCTTTTTCTCTATTTACTGATTTTCTTATACAGAGTCTAATTTGCAATTTGACCTCGTTTGTTGACCTCACTGGTTGCTAGGCACCAGTTATATTGTCAAAGAGAGGGAGTTAAATTTTAGCGATGTTGCCAAATGGTTTCATATCAAAAATACTACATAATTAAACTCTAATTTAATGAATTTTTTTATATTATCAAAAACAGATTTTTAATAATTAATTAAAAAATTTGTTATTTAATTTTATTGTAATTATTGATATTGAGTTCATATATAAATAATTAATATTTTTAATATTTAATATATAATCCGAAATTTATAATTGTGAATTATATTTTTTATTAAATATAAATATTAATAGAATGTCAATATTTAATATGTAAACAATTGTTATTACTTTTTATAAATATTAATAAATATATAAATATTAGAAATTTATATTATTATTCTTTATATTTTTAAATATATTCTTTAATATAATATTAATTATTGTTAATTAAATGTGTATTATAGATTGTTGTATATCAGTGCCGCCAACGAAAAGAAAAATTGTACGGTGTTATTATGTTTTTCATTAAACATAAAACAATATATTTTAATTAAAAAGCATATATTGATTATTTGTTTATATATTTAGGTTAACTGATTTTCATCAATGAGAAGTATTCAATAATAAATTTTCAATTAAAACATAATTTTTAATTAATTGTATGTTGATTGCATTTTAATTCAATATTTTAAATTATATTTTTAAAAATAATAATAAATATTTTTTTGAAGATTTTCATTTCTAATATTATATAAACAAAAACTGTCATTAATAATTTCAAACAAGAGGTTAAGTTATTTACATTCGACTAATATTTATAACAATTTTTCATTATAAATATTATATATTATTTTTAAAGTATCATTTCATAGTATTTCATCAATATATATTTTCAATATAAATAAATAATTATTTTAATATAAAATATAAAGATTTTTCCAAATATTCTTCATGAATGATGAATGCATGTAGGAAATATACTGAATTAATTCTTGTCTGTGTTTACAAATTGTGCAACAATTAACTTGAAATATTTAAATATATACTATAATAAATAAAATAAAATAAATAAATAAAATAGAATAATTCATAATCATGTTTAGTACTTTACGAAATAAGTTTCAAACTGTTCAAGAAGGTATATCAGCTAGGTAAATTTTATACAATAAAAAATATACTAAAAGATAATTTAAGTATTTTACAATTGTATTTTGTATTAACTTTATTTTAGTATCAGAGGATTGACTGTTATTGAAAATCCAAAACCAAAAAAAATAACAATATCAGAAATGTTAATTACAATGCAGGAGCTGATATTTTGCATAGATTTCAATTACAATGGAATGAATTACATGAACTTGCAGAAGAAAATGCAGGAAAAGCTCAAGAAGCTGATAAACTCATTGGAATTATCTATGAGAAACTTGAACATGAATGGAAAAGTCTTACTTGTTTAAATAGTACTTTAGCTTACATTCCAAAAATTAATAATGCAATACAGGATCTTATGGATCAGATAGGTATTATTATTTTAAATGTCTTTTTTTAAATTCAAATATATTATAAATATGAAAAATTAATTCTGAATGCTAATATTATTAAAGGAACATTACAAGAAATGTTTGAAGAAGTGGAAGGTGCAATATATCGTTTAGAAGATTTAAATGAAATGTTAGATTTGCAAAGTAGACAGTTAGATCATAGATTTCAATTAGCCTTATATAAAGAAAAAAAGCTTGCAGAATTAAATATTATTAAAGGTATAATATTTGAAATATATTATATAATTATAACATAAAAATATTAAAAATGTATATTGATTTTAGCAAAATTGGCCAATGAACATATTGAAAGAGTATCAAAATATGAACTTAAACAACAAAAAATGATGAAAGAAAGACGTGAAACATTTGATGAAGTTTTTAAAGAAGAACTTAGAGAATATAAAGCAACAGGGTCTATATCAAGTATGTGATGATATATATTTTAAACATAAAAAATTAATGCTTTATAATTTTAATTCCTTATATTTTATTCCAAATAAATGTTATTTTCATATAATTTTTTTCAATAATAAATTAATTATTAATTAATTTTTAATGAAATTAATTTTTAAGTACAATAAAATTGATTTTTATTTTAGAATTACCAGTGACACAACAAGGTCCATCATTGGATGAGATAGTTTTGGATGTAGATTCAACAATATTTAATGAATTTTTAAAAAATTAAAAATATAGTTTGTAATATGTGCATATATGCGCGTGCGCATATATGTATGTTAAGAGAATAAATATAGAAATATTTGAGAAATAATTATGTATAAAATTCTGTGTGAATTATGTAAAAATAAATAATAACTTTTAGAAATATTTTTTTATTTATGATTAAATAATATAAAATATTATATAATATATATTTAATAATACATAATAATATATTTGATTTATTTATAATATTTAAAAACATTAACATTATACTATTAATTAAAATTACTATCATATTTATAAAAAAATTTTATTTTTAGTAACTATTTTTATTTTCTTATATTAATCAAAAATTAACTTGGTCAATGTCGAATTGATTCTTAGTTACTAGTGTATCTGAATAAGAAATATAGAATACATCCATAACCTTAAAAAAAAGAACGCTTGCTATTTAGGTAATAATAATAAAAATTACATTTTTTATTCTATTATTTTTGTATTTGTTAAAATACATTTATTATATGTTATGCAATGAATAATATAAAAATATAATATAATATAAATCCAAATTTTATTATATATTTTACTGAAATTATTTATAATGATAAATATATATTTTTTAGGTTAAAATGTTACCGAAATATAGAAAAAAAAGTTACATCTTGGATAAGCTACATCATGGATTTGTAAAAATTTGTATGGGTGTTACAGTAATTGGAGGAGTAGCTTTAGGATATAAAGTATATGTTTATTTTCAATATATAAAACCGGCATTACAGGAAATAGAAATGAAAAATAATGAAGATTTATTAGAAGAAGGAAGATATAAACCGATTGTTGGTTAAAATAAAAGAATTTAATAATAAGTCTAAAATATGTAGATAAGTTGTAATAAAACAATAATTAAAATAAAAAATTTATAATTATTATCGATAATATTAATGGAATGTTTTATATGTGACGAAAATTATTACATTTATTAATTATTTAAAATATATATGCTGTTAAAATCTAAAAAAAAAAGTATATTTATATATAAAATTTCATTGATATTTTTTACAGATTTATTTATTATTATAATTGTGTACATTTATTATTTAAGTGCTATTTAAATTATTATAAAAAGATATACATATTATGAAAATATACCCTGAGTAGTTTTCAAAAAGAAAGTGTGTTTTATATTTTGTTTTTGTAAATATTGTATCTTTATCTATAGATAATTTTAATTTTTTTATTAATATTAATAAAATATTAAAAATGAAGTTATAATGTTAAAGTACTGCATATTTTTTATAAATGCAAGTATTTTTTGCTAGAATATTAATTTTGAAAAACATTTTTAATGAACACATGTGCATTCATTTCATTTTTTTTTTGTACATCTCACATTCATTAAATATTATATTAAGACAAAGAATATCTTTTTCCTGAATCAATGTCACATATTTTATATAAGTAATTGAAATATATTTTTCTTTATATTTAAAATATATCATTATTAAATTAAGAAGTAGTCGTTTTAAATGGAAGGATAACTACTGTTAATAACTAAAATTTTATGTTATAAAATTTGTATATTAATAAACATTTTATGTTTAATATTTACACATACGTAAGTTGAGTGCACATGATACACTTACAAAGTAATACATGGTCAAGAATGTTATCGCATTTTCAAATGCTCTCAATTAAAAATTGTGATATAATCATGCACACAAATTGCTATTTGTCATAAAGCTTAATCATTTTAAAAATGCCAAATGTTTTTTGAAATTATGGTAAGTCTTACAGAAGGCAATATTTTTTATACAGCTTCCAAAAGGAATTTTCGAGTACAAAATACATCATATTTATATACAACATTCTATTTTTTTTATGTAATAGACATAATTTGTACTCAGTTTTTTCATTATATTAGTCAAACAGCAATATTTTAGAAAAATTTTTAAAAGTAAATATACATATATGTCAAACTAGAAAAGTCACAAATATTCAATCCTATTTACATTTGTAACAAACAATGTAAGACTTACTATATGTGGATTTGTGTATATATATGTTATTAATATAATACAATAAACTTAAAAAATTAAATACATATATTTATCCGAAATATTAATGTAGCTACTTTGTATACCAACAAAATAGTATGAAACTTAGTTTTACATAGATCGATCAATAAATCATAAGAGTAAAATTTGAAGTACTGATTCTTAACAATCAATATTTTATTCCGTTTAAAGAAAAGAATATTTTGATCAAACGAAATAAAGAGAAAGAAAAAAAAATAAAATAAAAAAAACAAATATTAATTTTTTTAATAAAAACATTTTATGTTTTGTTAAACACCTTAATTCTATGATCTGATCAAATACTTGCACAAACCCTGTAGCCCACAGGCTGCAACTTGAAATTCTGCGAGTAAAAATATTAAATGATAAACATTATGAACTATTAGATGTGGGATTAGAATTTGATAACGATTCCACACGCATTGAATCAATTCTAGCTACGATTTTCAGTGCAGGACCCAATTTAATACTCATAGCTGACATAAGATGATCTTCTTTGAGTAACATTAATGCTTGACCGTCTATTTCTTGAATAGCAAAATCTTCTGCATAATCAGCACAACCAGGTAATCCACGTATAAAATCACATACTTCACCAACCTATAAATTTTTAATTTTATATTGATTATTTTTCTTTATTGTTATTTATTTTTATAGTTGCATAACATCCTTACCGTCCATTTCACAGGATTAACTTTCGGCAGTGTATCATCAACAGAAGAAGTAGTAGTTGTAGTAGCAGATAATGATTTTTCTTCTCCGTTTTTTTTCATGTCCCCATCATTTTTAGATTCAGTCTCTATCTCAGTCCATTGTTTTTCAGTACCTTCACGATCTCTCACTTCTCGTTTTTTGCTATTTAATTCAAAATATATCATAATAAAAATTATTAAATAATAATAACATATAATACTCTACAAGTTAACTCATTTATTAACCTTTTTGCACAATCAGATGAGCAAAATCGTTTCTCTTTTTTAAATTTAGTATTTTGTTCATCTACTAAATTGCCACAAGCTTCACATTTTCCAATTTGAATATTATTTATATCTTCATCATTAGAATAATTAGGTGCATGTTTTTTCCCTGTAATAAATTCAGATTTAATATTACTTATATTAAAAAATTTAATATTAAAAATTGTTTAAATCTTACTTGGAGGTTCTTCATGATTTTCTTTTTCAGATGATGAATTACTATTACGATTTAAAATATTATTTGTTTCTTGATTAACTGTATTATTCAATGATGTTCGATTAACAGCGAATGGTTCAGATGCTAAAATATTAAAATTAATTAAATATAAATTAAATATAATTAAATAGATTAATATTTATTGATAATAATATTATAATATTTCAAACATTAAGTTTATACCTTCTTGAATAACGAAACCTTCAATTACATGTGTGAGAACTTGTGGTTTGACCATTGCTTTTGGCGGTACATGTTTACTATTTGCGCTAACTGGTACAGAAACAGGAATTGTTGTTGAGTCTTCATTGTTGACACCATTTGTAATTGAATTAATTGTATTTGCTAATCCTGCTAAAGGATTGCTACATGGCTTTTCTTCCAATTTTATCAATGAACTTTCTTCATCTTTTACAGCCACTTTAGGTTGGTCCCCATCTATGACAAAAATAAAATTGTATATATACATATATATTATATATCATTATATCATTATATATATAAAATGTTATATATTCATGAGTTTTGGATATTTTTGGAAGCAGAAAAGAAAATGAACTCTCTGTCTTCGTTATATCATATTCTGTTTTCGCTTTGCATCATTTAATGTAAATATTATTAATATATATTTATATAACTTATTATAATTATATAATTAACCTTAATTAATATTTTTGAATTCCAACTTTTACATTATTATTTCGATCTTTAGAATCGATTTTCAAAGGAATCCTACAAATATATTAACTTTGTATATGAAATGAGATGCAATATATATATATATGAATAATGATGTAAATTAGATATAGATATAGATAGATAATGATATAGATTATTAGATAATGAACGAACCTGTCGTTTCTGGTTGAGATACTGTAACTTCTTCTATTGTGACTGGTATTGATTCCTCTTTTTTCAATATTGGTTTAGAATTCTCTTCATTTGTTGGTGGTTGTTGTTGCTGTTGTAGTGCCATATTCGCTATAAGAAAAAAGATATAATATTCACTATAATAACGAATATATAGAAACTCATCATTTTTTTCTAAATATGCAAAACATTATCTCACTTATAATTGGTTTAGGTTGTATTTGTTGTTGTGATGATTGCACTTGTGGTTGTTGATATTGCTGTTGCATCTGTTGTTGTTGTTGTTGTTGTTGTTGTTGCGTATGTTGTTTTTGTTGAATAAAAACCTGTTGATGTTGTTGCTGTATCGTTTGCTGCGATTGTTGTGGTGATTGCAGTGATTGCACTTGTGGTTGCGATAATTGCACTTGTGGTTGTTGATACTGCTGCTGCATCTGCTGTTGTTGCTGTTGAATAAAAACCTGTTGATGTTGTTGTTGCATCGTTTGCTGTGACTGTTGCGGCGATTGTAGTGGTTTACCACGACCTTTACCACTACTACCGCTTCCTTTTCCACTCTAAGTTAAAAAAAAAAATTCTTTTTCATTATACGAAAACAAGAAAACTTTCTATGTTTATATGTAATTCGAAAATCACAACAATTGAAATCATTTTTTCAACTATTGATTTTTTCAATTATAGTAACCTGTACATGTACCGTAGTTTGTACTCCATGAACAGTTTGTGTTGAAACAGAACTAGCAGCTCGTATGTTAGCAGCTTGTACTGCTTGTAAAGAGGACGGCAAAATACTCAAAGGTCGTTGTCCACCTGTACTTTGTTTACCCTGTTGCTGTTGTTGTTGTTGTATATCCATTACCTTTGGTTTTCCACTAGCTGCAGCAATTTGTTGTACTCCTTGAATTTGTTGTTGCGTAGCTAGTGCTAATATAATAATAAAATAATTCAATTCAAAATATAAAATTTTATATAAATTGCATTTAATATAAATACAAAACTAACCATTATGAGCTTGAATTGGTTGTGGACTTTGTATAAACATATCAGGTTGAGTAGGACCTCTAATAAATATTTGATTAGTTAAAAGTGCTGGTGGTTGTATTCCAGTCCAAGCAACTTGTGGTGTAAATTGCCAAGGAGCAAATTGCATACCACCTCGTCCTCCGGATGGAGTAGCAGCTGTACATGTAGTATACTACACATTTTAAAAATAATAAAATAATTGAACATAGAATATCTATTATAAGATAAAATAAAAATAATGTTACCTTTTGTACTTGGTCTTGTTATTTGCAGATTGTTGCTGCTGTTGTTGTTGTATAGATGGAGGCTGTGGGGAACCCAATACACCAAGTTGTCCAAATACTAATGTTTGTCCTGCTCCAGGTGTAGCAGAAGTAGGTACAGGTAAATAGCCTGTAGGAAATCCTTGAACCTTAGTTCCTCCAGCTGCTGGATGGCCACCTCCTTGACCCGGTGTTGATGCAGTAGTTAGCATATGAGGTGTCAACTGAGCAGCAGATTGAAATGGTTTTCCAGCAGTTATAACCTGTAAAGTGTCCTACTTAGAAAAAGATTTATGTATTTTAATAGTAATAAATATCATGAATATATTTAAGTACCTGTATAGAAGAAGGATTGATGCCAGCAGGATGAAGAGCTAAATTCCCTGGCATCAATAATGGAGTTCCTTGCGTATTGTAAAGTTGTTGTAAATGATATGCTTGATTTTGCATAGGTTGTTGAATAACTTGTACTGCTTGTGGATGTGCAGCCATAGTAGTTATAGT